TGTTGAGACGCGCTGCAGTGATTGGCGCGTCCCAGGATGTCACGCCACTCCGCGCGCAAGAGAAGAAGAGGCAGGACAGAGACAAAGATGGCAGCAGCCGAAAGCGGGATTGTGTTGAAACCGTGAACACGAACGTGTTCCGGAAAGCATCAAGTCGGCCTACGAAAAGCTAGGAAAGAACTGAGTTCAGGGTGTTGCAGCCCACGGACGAGTTTATGTTACTCCCGTAAGAAATCAAAGTGACTGTCGAACTTGCTTTGCACCAAATTTGTGGATGTACAGCGTTGGACTGTTTCGTCGATGACCGTATTGATGCGACCCAGGAACTGAACGATAGGCGGTGAGTGATCTTTTGCAACGTATGGCTCAAGGAACTTGCCGTACATCAGATCGTAGAGCCTAGAATCATCGGGAGTAGTTGTGATTTCCTGAGGGTGACCGTGTTCTCTGGCGACGCCATTGCGTCATCGCTGATTATACTTGCCTCGTGGTCAGCGAATTGTAGGGACTGTACAGAACGTTGCGAACTGGTTGGCGATTTTGTTGACATAAGTTTATTATTGTATTACGTATCATTTTATGAGAACTGACGATAGCGGTAAAGCTATTGTGTTCTCGCTGTAAAATTTCTGTAAAGCACGTATTTGACAACATGCACAAATAAATTGTTACCGTGGTTATGAATTGGGTATTGTGCAGAGATGTTTCATTCAAGTTGTACGTGTGTATCAATGTCTTACATTGTGAAGCATTATATGTATGTATCCCAATTTAAAAGGTGATTAAATTCGTTTTCATCTCAATGTGTCAAAGTGATGAAAAGTGATTTGTCCTACACATAGCAATAAACACTAGTTCATTCAACGGAGCTATTCGTCGAAAAATCTGATTCAAAATGAATTTCTTCAGGCACATTTTATAGCGGACTAGAGCCAGAGATTTAAGATGTTAAGATTTTGTTGTTTTATAATTTGGGATATGTTCATTTTTAAGAAAGTGAGAAGAAAATCTCTGTCAATGTATTCAGGATAATAGAGCCAGGAGAAAATTTTCATAGAAATTTCAAATATGTTTGTGATGTTGCGTTTTTGCGTTCATTTCATATATTACAGGCGTCTCAGTTCATGTTTACAACAAGCTCTGATCGATACGTGTTTGTGCTATGAACCAATGTTACCACATTCAGCCGATGTCGAAATGTGCAGCAAGGTATCCGGTGGTAGTAAGTAAATCTAATATTTGCGAGCTCTTACGTCACGTCGCATTTCTGTCCATCATACTTGTTCAGTCTCGTTCGTCATTCAATACTCACTAAAAAGTCCACATCGAATCGTCAAACATAATGTCATGTGCACCAGCAACGCTCAAATGCTCTGTCATAAACAATTATATTTGTCAACATTTAATATTAAGTGTACCATACTCTGGGGGTCGCATACGCGGCCATTGCGTCCTAGGCAACCGTGACAATAACAACACACGCTAATTCACTGGTATACATGTTAGACCAAGAACAAAAAATATGTGTTCCTGTAGCGCGTGGACGCCAGTCCAGAAGGGCTGCCTAAAACTCTTTTTAGCGTATATTTCAACTAACACAAACCAATCTTGGAAATTGCAGCAACGTGTCAAGCAGGTGTCACGAACCAACACACCAGAAATCAGCTAGGCTGCACGGATACATGTCCTCCTTCTTGCAAGTAAGTATATGATCCCGATAACAGACACTACATGTACGAGTATGTATATCAGCTCTACTACGTCATTGCAGTGCGTCATCATTTAAGTACATTGCGTGTTCGACATGATTTCATATTTTGATAGAATGCTGCTCTTGTGTTTTTGACATATTTTACCGTATATATAATCAGTGGCAGTATTTTGCGCAATAATTATTTGTTTTAGTATTCGTGGACTTTAACAGTGGTATCCATAGGCCACAGTGAAAACATGTAAAACTCATTTTAAATAATGTCATTTTTATAATACTTCTAGACTTAAAGTACACTGCAATATGCTATGTATCATTTGTTTGCCCTATGTCATCGATAAACAATTTAATTATTGAGACGTTTCCTACCCATGGATAACAAATTGAATGTTTAAATTTCACAAAACATACAAATCATGTTATTTTCACTCCTTTGTTTACATAAATTTTATCCGAGCCGAATAGTACCCCTTAGTTTTATCATTTTCTCAATCCATGAAATGTCACATATGTGGAAAAGAACATTATTTTTAAAATAATTAACTTTTGAGCAGTGTTTCCTGCACTAAGATCGTTTGTGGGAATTCGACTTATCCAATATATAAGAGCGAACTAATTGTATCACGTTTTGTTGTTGATATAGACGAGATATGTTGTCGAGATATTTTGTTAAAAGAAAAACTGTCGAAAAAAATTACTATTTTGGATCTGTTGCCACAGAAACCCATGTTAAAGTATTATTTTATAAAAAGTTGGGATCGATTTGACTCAAGGTACCTTCAGTTTTTTCAAACTTATTTTTCATAGCATCGTAAATTCAGAAAATCTGTTGTACATAACTACATTTCAAAAAAGTTATTTAAAAAAATACTAAAAAAGCGGATTGCTGAGCAACTTAGGTGGTTAACAAAAAAAGTAGGTACACCCGAATATTCAAAGTCTTGTCACGCTACATCGAGCGAATAGCCATTTATCAATGATCATTATTTACAGTACAATAATACAATGTATAAATAACTACCAAGTGCCCTGTAACCGGCGCACAAAGCCTTGTAGAAAACACCAGAGCTAAAAAAATACAATGAAGGAATAAAAAAAAGCCTGGAAATCTACACTCGTCACATGCTGAATGCGCCTGAGGGAGGGTGCCGGGTTTCAACCTAATACATTCTAATTTATCAAAAAATAAAACGTGCTTGCCGAGAGCTCTTGAAATGATACACATTTGCCGAGCTGTTGGCAGTGACGTGGAAACGCCTACACTGACCAAGTCGCACAATACACTACCACAAGCCAATGCGGTATGCCAAATGCGCCCTCTAACAGGTGCCATCAAAACATCTATTTCTGGCTTACGTTGTACCGCAAGAAATACCATTAAGCATCGAGTGAGGTAGATTCTTTTATTGGTGTCATTTGTGTGTTCTAAAAGTGCAAAGGCCACATCGACTTGGTCTTCTATTTATTTTCTCCTCTATTGATGGTTTCCCATATTCCAATACCCGAGACTTTGGGCAGACATCAACTTACACTACACTACATCTTCCCCAGAATCAAAGTTGTTAGCTGAAATGCTTCCATAGAGTGATAGATCGATTGGTTGTCTAAAGTTTTCTGGGCTTAATGTTAGTGTTGAGGAGTAGGTATGAGCAGGGTTTGAGCGCATTACGATGGACTGCTGGCCCTTTGTTATGTGACTAAGGCCGTTTCTTAAGACAAGTACTCGCCTGGAAGTAGTTGATTTGAGTTTGTTTTGAGGTTGTAGTTCTTCTTCTGCCTTAGTCTATCTGGCTTAACCTGTTCGAGTGTTGCTTGTATAAAGTCAGAACGTTTCATTTGACTTTGATAATTAGATACGAACCCTACTGGAAGACGAGGATTGTGATCGAA